TGTTGGCGCCAGATAAAACGGAATGGAGGGAGTATTTATTAAGTTTATAGGCCTGAAATTCATGTGTTTCATAGTTTATATACCTGCTTGGAAATACGGGACAAGTTTAGAGACGCTAGTGGATTCTACCTTTTTTCTTTCATCCCTCCTGCTTCCATGCGGCGCCGCGAAAGGACAAACACCAACGGAACGGACTTGACCAAGTCCCCCAGACCGTCCACCAGCTAGCTTCCCCGATCCCCAACAGACGAGCGGAGTAGGTGGTCTCCCTCTCCCTCCCTCCACTCCCGCTCCAGCGTTCTCTCCCTCCCCCTGCCCCGACCGATGCTACATTCCCGCGGCGAGCCGCTCGCCTGCCTCCCCGGGCCCTGGGCTACCCACCCCATCGCCGAGCCGCCTCGCGCCCTCGCCCGGCCCCCCTCCATTTTAACCCGACTCTCGTGCCTCGGAGGGAGGGAGGGGAGAGGGGAGTCGTCGTCATCCTGCCCCCGGCGCTCGGGTTATTGACTCGAGGGATCGCGGTGGATTTGGGGCCCGGGGTGGACTGATTGCTGATGGTATTCTCCGATGGAGGAGGCCGGGAGAGAGCGGGACAGGGCCGTGCCGGCGGAGGATCTCGGCGTCGCCACTAAGGTCAGGTCGAATGTATCTCTGCCCCTGCCAATCTACTGTTTCTCCGTTCATGTTTCTGAGGAGATTGCTGATGGGGATTTGGGGGAGTAATTAGTTATTATGCCCCTGGCCTCTGATTCTGTTTCGGCGTTTTTGCAGTTCCTCTGATAACTAGCTAGTAATACCACTACCATACCCCACCCGCGCTAGCATCCTGCTAATTGCTCTAACGAGATGTGTGAAAGGATTGAATAAATTTGTTGAATCGTAGTTGGAGTTCCCTCAAGAATTACTCTGCATTTTTAGATTGTCCATGCTCCACATAGACTTCCATGTTCCAGCTGGTTTCTCTGGCTGAATTTAGAAAGGGGCCAAATGGTTTCAAAGTTGGCCCTGGCAGTATATAATGAGACTAAGAATAAATGACGCATGGCTTGTACATAACTACTTTTGATATAGGGAACAGTCAATATCCACCTTATTTGCCCGTATCAGTCAAGAACTTCGTTTAACCTGTGAGGTATTTTCATCGCACACATTGTTTGTATAAATAAATATATAACATGCGCGTTGCTGTGGGGCTGTGTGGACAAACATTGTTTACGATTCCTTATATTATATTATAACTTGGAAACATAGTGATAGTCTCTTTCAAATATGTTAAGCAGGAAACTTATTCTCGTCAGAACTAATAATTAAGACCCGAGAAAAATTAGGATTCAAACAGCATCGCGTCATTCTTGCTGCATATGTGATAGTCCATTGGAGCGGACAATCCAGGGATCATACTTGTTTGTTGGTCTAATCTAGAGGCTGTTATTTTTTTTTATTGTGTGCATTAATGACAAGGCTGGGTTTGTAGTCAAGATTAAATGATAGAGTGATTGCTGTGAGGGAATGCCCAAATTATAGTCCATTGTCCCTTCATGTGACCTGTCATGAAATTTCAGTACCCTCAAATATTTTTTTTTTTCAATTGCAGGATACAGCAGTTGTAAACACAAAGCCAGCAAAGCGATACCCGCTTGCGTTATGGATAGCAATATTGGGCCTGATAATGCTAGTCGGCGTGTACATATTCTCGTTGTCTCTAAAGCAAAACGGGATGCTTTTCGGGCTCATGCAGACAAATTTGATAGAAAAGGAAAGGGAGAAACCTTGTCATGATCCCAGTATTCCAGACACAGAAATCCCTTACTTGCACTACCCGATGCCAAATACTTATGATAGGTAACGAAGATATACTGGGTCATCTGATTTTGCTATATTTTTTTTTCAGGTTAGTGACTGACTTGAGTGTTATTTGTCTGTTAGGAAAGAATGTGCGTGCACGGGGGTTAGGTTCTTTGCTATCTTGTCAATGCAGAGGTCAGGGAGTGGATGGGTCGAGACATTGTTGAATAGCCACCCTAATATTAGCTCCAATGGAGAGATCTTCTCTGTCAAAGAAAGACGCAGTAATATCACCGCGATCACGAAAACACTGGACAAATTGTACAATTTGGATTGGTATAGCAGTGCTGCTAAGAATGAATGTACGGCTGCCGTGGGGCTGAAATGGATGCTCAATCAGGTAATCCGTATATTCATCACACTTGTAGGTGGAGCAAAAACTTGCTCGTGTGATAATTTCACAGAACATTTACTCTAAATGGATATCCAATTTAGAAATTTATACCATTCTTCTAGTAGTTTTATTTTGTGGAAAGAATTGCTACTTACTATTACCTTTTTTCCCTTTTGAAACTTAATCTGAACACACCATGATCATCTTGCAATTCCAACCTATTTGCTTTTCTTATATCATACTAGTGTGTTTCCTTACCACAACAACAACAAAGCCTTTAAGTCCCAAACAAGTTGGGGTAGGCTAGAGTTGAAACCCAACAGAAGCCATCAAGGTTCAGGCACGTGAATAGCTGTTTTCCAAGCACTCCTATCTAAGGCTAAGTCTTTGGGTATATTCCATCCTTTCAAGTCTCCTCTTATTGCCTCTACCCAAGTCAACTTCGGTCTTCCTCTATCTCTCTTCACGTTACTATCCTGGCTTAGGATTCCACTACGCACCGGTGCCTTTGGAGGTCTCCGTTGGACATGTCCAAACTATCTCAATCGGTGTTGGACAAGTTTTTCTTCAATTGGTGCTACCCCTAATCTATCACGTATATCATCGTTCCGAACTCGATCCCTTCTTGTATGACCGCAAATCCACTTGTGTGTTTCCTTAAGTGGAAAATTTGTTTGATTACTTATGGACTATCTGAAAACCAAGGAAATAAGACTGTATCAAGTTTGATGAACTGCCTCCATCAAGATTGCCAATTTTATTTACATGGAAAATTGCTTGCCTGCAAGTGATAAACAAACTGTTAAAATACTAAAGGAGAGAAGCAAAACTAAATAACTAATGATTTTATCATATCTCTCCATCATGATCTTTTTTCCCCTGTTTCAAAACTTACTTGCTTGAACTTTACATAGAATGATTAATGTACTGGAGGTGTTTATTCTAGACAATGACTACTGATAGATATGACCCTTTGCATTCTATAGAAGCTTTTGCCACAGAATTATAGATCAGGTTGAAGGACTCATTATCTAATATGATTCTTGGTATATATGCTTACTTCAAAGGCTCTATTGAGTTTGTCCTTTGATTTCATGGTTTGCACATAGAACTATTCTTTCTATCACAATTGTTTGTGTGGCAAATTTCCAAAGACATATTCAGCTTCCTTGATTTGTTTTATCTAGTGATATGCTTATTCTAGAGAAAATTATAGGGTCTAATGAAGCACCATCAAGAGATAGTTGAATACTTCAACCGAAGGGGTGTTTCTGCAATTTTTCTACTAAGAAGAAATCTTCTCCGGCGTTATGTCTCTATATTAGCAAATGCTCATGATAGTGCCATGAAACAGCTGAATGGAACTCATAAAGCTCATGTGCACTCCAAACATGAGGTGCACATCTTTCGCTTATGTTGCCTGCACTAAGAGTCAGATTTTATTCAAGCATGCATTTTTTGGTATCATAAATATATCAAACTTATATGCTTACAACTTCTTTATCTGCTAATAATGGTGAAGATGTGTGTCGAATAAAAGAGAATCCTGTTGATCCCTTTTTTCTTTCTTTGCGCAGGCTGAAATTCTTGCTCAATATAAGCCAATCATTGACAAAAAAACATTGATTACTGAACTAAAACGGTCTGATAAGTTGGCATCTTCTGCCTTGGTGAATTTCAAGAACACCAGGCATGTTGTTCTGTACTATGAGGATGTTGTCAGCAATCGCACGGTGAGTCGCTGTTGCTTCATATCGTTCTGTTGAGGCTAAAACAATCTTCATGCTCCTCACCAGCGTGTTATTTCTGTCTTCAGATGCTCATGGATGTCCTGGATTTTCTAAGAGTGCCAAAGAGGAAACTGTCCAGTCGACATGTGAAAATCCACACTAAACGATTGTGTGATCATATCGATAACTGGGCAGATGTTAATAATTTTTTGAAGGGGACACGGTTCGAGAGCTTTTTGAATGGCTCAAGGAGATGACATCGCTAGCTGATGTATATAGTGCTATAGTGAGTTGTCCTTTTGACGCCTCGTTACCCCCCTTCTACAGCTAACAGAGTTAGCGCAGTTGGCAAATTTTTTGATATCATGAGCGAATAAGTTTGGGTCACTGAGAGAAATAGTTAGGAAGCAGAAGTAGAGATGCTTGATCCAGGTTAGTCTTATAGATATGGACTTCAGAGCTGCAGAATAAAGTGTGGGGTTATCAAATATCTATCTCAACTCTCAAGAACTTGTAAAGCTGTCTGGACTCATTCATGAATACATCAAACTTTACACTTGAAAATGATAGCCCATCCGGATTGGCGCAACAAGTGCTCAACTGCTCAGACTCCTTGTATGCACATGTTGGCCCCTGGAAATAGCAAATGCTCTTGGGAGTATCTTGTTGCTAAATGAAGCGCATTGAGTCCTTCGGTGTACTGAACTGCTAAATGAAATGTACTATCACTTTCTTAATTTCTGCCATTGCCTGTCACTTTAAAGGGTGTTTAAATTGGCTAAATGGCCATTTAGGCTAACAGTGCAGTGCAGCTGTGGTCAGGGCGCCGGTCATGCATGGATGGATGGATCCATTGGCAAGGAAGTTCTGTGGCAGAGGAAGAAAGCAGAGTAATAATACATACACAGAACCAAATGAAGGAAGCATCTGGTTACTTCTCCAGCCTATACAAAACTGATCATCTTTACTAGCAATTACAATGCACAACGACGAATCGCATTGTTCTGCTCAGTAGCCTGCCTGCTCGCTCGATCTCCGTATGCTCAGATAAGAGCTAGGTCTCGCTCGATCTCCGTATGCTCAGATAAGAGCTAGGTCTCGGTGGCCGGCGGCGGGGCGCCGGGCTGGATGGTCTTGAAGGACTCGTGCAGGCGTCGGAGCATGGCCTCGTCGCGGCTCCACTCGGCGTTGGGCGCGGTGACGAAGTGCGCGTACAGCTTGTTCCGCGCGCACGTGACTGAGATGAGGCTGTGCGCGCCGGCGCCCGCCACCTCGTACTCGTAGTACACCTGCCCGGCGCCGTCGGCGCGCTCGGCGGAGCGCACGTCGTCGGCGGTCGCGATCTGGTCCTGCAGCCCGACGTCGGAGAGCGCCAGGTTGTCGAGCACGGCGCTGAGCGGCGCCAGCGCGCGGATCCCGGACAGGAACGTCAGGTACTCCTTCTCCGCGCGCTTCCGCGGGTTGAAGAACTCCGAGTCCGTGCCGTTGGTGCCCTTCTCCACCTTGGACACCAGCCGCTCCTTCCACCCCTCCGGCACGTCGTACACGTACTCCGCCGTGTCCTTCTTGCTCGCGTTCCCGCCGTACCCGCCGTAGTTCGCCGCGCTCGCCGCCGTGCCGTAGTACACCGTGAACTCCGGGTCGGCGCGGGACGGAGCGGGAGCAGGGGACAGAAGCAGGAGCCCCGCCGCGGCCGCCGCCACCAGCGTCGTGGCGATGGGCTTGTAGTTGTTCCCCGGCGGCGGCGGGAGCCTCAGCGCCTGCGGATGAGGGGCTGCCGCCTGCTGCTGCGACGAGGCAGTGGAGGTGCACGCGGTGGTGAGGAGAGGGGACGCCACGCGCGAGAGGAGCGAGGGAAACATGGTCGCCGTCGACCGTCCGTGACACCTGCCGGGGCTACTGTCGTGTGCTTTGTGTTGGAGGCGACACGCGAGAGGATAGGAGAGATCGCGTGGGCCCGTGGCTTATCCAAAGCGACGTCGACATGGCACGTTGGCGATCGGGAGCCACGAGCGCAAACAGTAGAAGTGTATTTGCGTGGAATCCTCGTGTTTGTATACTGGGCCCAATTTGTAGCTGGGCTTGTCGGCGGCATTATTTTATTTGGGCCTAGAAAAAGAAGAGTCTTCTATTAGCGTTTTTCTCTTAGCAAAAAGTCCAATTTACCTTCAACTATCACGGTAGTCTATTTTTTCTCTTTGAAACTGCAAAATCAAATTTTTTTTACCCTCCTAACTTTTAAAACCGTTTGTTTATTTATTTTGGGTGATTTTAAATGTGATTTTGTTGATAATGCCACGTCAGAGGGGATATATCAGACTATATTGAAATTTCATGAGGTAAATCGGATAGAAATATTTTTAAAAAATATCCAAAAATCATAAAACTACTTTTAAAAAATATCCATATATTTTTACTTGTAAAATAATACAATTAAAAATCCTAAAATCTAGATTAATCTTAGAAGATTTGTGTTACCATGAAAAAAAAATCTAAGATTAAACTAGATTTTAGGATTTTGAATTGCAATAATTTTCCATGTAAAAACATTTGGATTTTTTAAAAAAAATCCATTTTTATGATTTTTGGGGTTTAAAATATTTCTAGTTCGATTTATGCCTCCCTAAACTTTCAACTTAGTCCGATTTACCCTCTTTGATGTGGCATCACATCAGCAAAACCAACATCAAAACCACCCAAGGTGTAAAAACAAATGACTTTAAAAGTTGAGGGTTCTGTAGTTCAGTGAGGAAAATTAGATGGATGTGATAGTTGAGAGAGATAAATTGGACTTTTTCTTTCTTCTTAAAGAAACTTTGAAGTGCTAACAAAATGATATGGCTCCCTCTAATTATATTTCATGTCATATTGCCTCCCTATTCTCCTATCAAGCTCCACCACGGCCAGCGAGGTAGCTCAAGGTCACTGAGTCAAAAGTCGGCAATACTCTTTGGCTCCATGTTAAGTACTCCCTCGGTTCCAAAAAAATTATAAGATGTTTTGGCTTTTGTAGATACATTGTTTTTACTATTTATCTAGACATAGTATATATCTAAAAATATAGCAAAAGTTATGTATTTAGGAAAGCTAAAACGTCTTATAATTTTAAATGGAGGAGTATAAAAGAATTCCAAAATTCGATCACTACATTGTACATTGCATGCATGTGCCACACTATCACATACTTCTGCTTGTTTCGTCTAAGAAGAAGACGCCGGTGCAACCACCGGCAGCCTAAGATGGTGTGTGAGTTTGATGCAAGGCAATTTTTTATCCTAGTGTGAAGGGTAGAGATGGAAACAATCGCAATGCCTTCGAGCCCCCAAAGGCTCAATTGCGAGAGGTAGAACAAAATGGAAGATGAGCATTTGAAGAGTTCAATTATTGTACTCTTTCTAGTGCTAGTTTGATACAACCGATTCCCATAGGACTAATAGAAGGCTTTGCTTTGTTCACGAGGGATTGAAGGCGAATGATACGATGTTTTCTCAAGCCGTTGTTACATACACATTGTATATCGCATCATTTCACCATTGATCGAATACAAAAAAAACTAAACATCCATGCTAAGCCTTGAATTTTTATCCGAAAATTCATCGGTTTCGACCATAATAAAGCTAACAAACCGACCCTTAATTGGCAAAATGATTGTACTTTTTTATGAAAAATGTTATACTCTTATAGCATCTTCAAGAGCATTTTTTTAAACTCACTCTCTAAATCATCATTTGGAGAGTTATTTGCAAAAAAGCTGTTTCCCATATCTTTCCACTATCGCACTGGCGGAGCCACCGCCCAGGCTCGTCGGTAAAAGCGCAAAGAAAAATTCTCTTTATACTGCAGAGAAATATACTCATATGGATTTTTCTTTATAGTGCAAAGAAATATTATACCAGAGTAATAGTACAGGGAGGCTCGTAGGGCCTGAAATAAGATTTTCTTTTTATTTACAACGTGTTTGGTCTGTGGATTGACTCCATCCGCCATGGGTTCGTGCGGAATCAGGTTGTCCAGCGTTTTTATGAGGAATGGATCGGCTCCCGAGATTGGCTTGCGGAGTTACTACTTGGTGACGGATGAGGCGGACCGAATACTTGTACAAGTAGGATTTGCGTGTATGCATCGGTACGAGTCCATGCATGCTATGAGTGTCTGCAAGTACTATAAGAAAAAACCATGGTCAAATGTTAGAATGTCAGATAAGCAGATGAGCGACGCCCATCAAATCGTGCTCAATTTCGTGGCCAAACCACCCGTCCTAGCTGGCACCCGTTGAAAGGTCCTTGTTGGTTTTGGTAATTGAGTGACAACCTAGGTGGACTAATTGTGTTTATGTGAGATACACAGGTGATTAGTCCACAGGTACATGTGTGTGAGCAACATATGTCATGAAGGTGAAAATGGCTTAGAGATGTTGCAAAGCTCACACATGTGATAATGAAGGAGCTTAACGCACATGAGACATGACATTGAGTCATGTAATCAAGGTGGAGAAGATCAAGATAAGACTTGGCTTGATGGACCGGTTGCAAGCGTGAAGGGTAAGTCAAAGGCTTTGGAGTGATGGACCGCGTGGCGGTGAAGCTTGAGCAAGACTTGGCGCCGATGGACGATAGCAACGGTGAAGAGTAAGTAGAGTCAAGATCGATGAACCAATATGATCATGTGATGATATGAAGTGGATCATATCATTGTTGATCGTGTTTGTGCATGTGTTGCATCGACATTGAAGGAGATGGAATGGAATGCGCAAGGCAAAGGTATAACCTAGGACATTTTATTTCACCGGTCATAGGTGTGTAGAGAAGTTTATGACCGGGTTTAGGATAGATGGCCGTACTATCAAGAGGGGCAAACTTGTTTGCATATCGGTCATCTAGTGCCACTCGAGTGATCTAACTTTGCATTGTCGCTAGGATCGAGTGGCGTGGCAAGTTGAGTGGCTAACATTCTTTAGGAAATGATTGTGAAAATGCTAACACACATACACATGGTGGTGTACACTTGGTGGTGTTGGCACATTTACAAAGGAGGTGGTGTTTGCAGGGGTGAGATGGGTTTTGGGTCTCTCCCTCCCTCCCGCCGAGCTTGCGAGGCGGGATTCGGCGCTTTCGGGAAAATGGTATGTCTATTTTTTATTGCGCGGGATGCAAATTCTTGGTGGTTGGCTCTTTGGAGCAAGGATGAAGAAGTTAGAAGTGAGAACGAGTTAGTCGCGAAGATGCTGGCGTCGGTCAACTGACCGGACGCTGGATCTGAATGCACCGGACGCTGGCAGGCTGCGTCCGGTCAGGCTGACGTACGATGACGCAGAAGCTGGAGTGTGACCGGACGCTGGCTGCGTCCGATCAAGTGTGATCGGACGCGTCCGGTCGAGGTCGGTACCTTACTGGAAACGACCGGACGCTGGGGGTTCAGCGTCCGGTCAGTTGAAAGCTGCTGCGTCCGGTCAAGTCAAGTGACCGTTGGAACCGGGACACGTGGCCGTCTGCGGGCGACCGGACGCTGAGGTCCAGCGTCCAGTCAATACGACCGGAGCGTCCGGTCGGCCCGACCGTTGCCCAGTGAAGGGGTAACGGCTAGTTTAGCCCTTGGGGCTATAAATAGAAGTGGCCCTCGGCCATGGCTGGTGATGAGCACCTCAAGGGACTTAGTGTCAATGCTTGTGAGTGTTTGAGAGCCCTCCATCACACATATACTTGATAGTGATCATTCGATTGTGTGAGTGAGCGATTCTAGTGCGATTGCATCGTGAGGTTGCATCGAGTGGCACTAGGTGATCGAGTTGCGAGCCGGTGGTGCTTGTTACTCTTGGAGGTTGCCACCTGCTAGACGGCTTGGTGGTGGTCTCCGTCGAAGCGTGCAAAAAGCTTGTGCGGCGCTCCGGAGAAGTGCTTGTGAGGGGCATTGTGCTCACCCCGCGGGAGCCGCGAAGAGCAACTCTAGTAAAGCGTGTCATTGAGCTACCCTCACTCAAGGGGTAGGTTCTTGCGGCGCCCGACGTGCGGGCTTAGCGGGTGATGCTAATTAACCGCCGAACCACCAAGTGAGCGGTCCACCTTGTTCTTCCCGTTGGTTTGCATCCCCATTACACAAGCTTGCAATTACTTATATATATATCTTAAGCTTGTGTAGTTGCTCTTGTAATTAGATAGCTTGTATAGCTAGCTAATTACCTTCTTGCTTGTGTAGCATAGAAGTAGCTCCCTTGCGTGGCTAATTTGGTTTTAGTAACCTTGTTAGTCACACTGCTTAGTTGTGTAGCTAAGTATTTGCGCTCTCTAATTAGGCGTTGGTTGCCTTGTTATTGAGCATTGCTAGTGAGCTTAGTTAGCTTTGTGCTTTTGCTTACTAGCATGTGTAGGAGCTCCCTTGTTACTTAAAGTACTAGTGCCATAGGTTTGTGTGACCTTACTCCTAGAATTGTTTAGGAGAGCTCTAGCTAGCCCGGCACCTTAGTTGCTTTATTAGTATCTTTGCAAGGTGCTAGTGAACATATATAGAGGGGTGTAGTCTTGGCTAGACCGATTGTTTTAATTCCGCATTTATATCGGTTAGCCGACGCGATTAATTTTAGAAAAAACTATTTACCCCCCTCTAGTCCGCCATCTCGACCTTACACCCGTAAAGACTGTCTCCAACGGAGCAGCCAAAGCAGGACCCAAACACATTTTTGGTAGCGCACAGTGTTTTGGGTAAAAAAAAAACAGTCTCCAACGGCATATGTAAATCGAACACCCATTTTGGGTACGAGCTGAGCCGGAACGCAAAGATACGTCGTCTCTTCCCGCGACGCAATCCTCTTGCGCCGGTAGTGGTGGAGCCGACGACGACGGCAATGACGTGCTTCCCATGGACGACTCTGACGAGGCGCTGGGAGGTCGCGTCCGTCGTGCGCGGAAACCGCGCCAGAAGCGGCCCTCTGCTACCTGTATTTGGGAGGCCTCGCCCAACGGGGTCGCGGAGAGGGGGCAGCGGGGCGGCGGCGGTGGCGTGGTGGAGTGTGGTGTGGTCGGTGGTGGCGGTGGAGGTGGGCCGGCGCGGTGCGGTGGCCACCGCCTCCATAGCGCCGCCTCCTCGCGCGCCTCGCGTTCTCCTCCTCCTCCTCCTCGCCGTCGGTGGAGCGGCAGTCTGAGGAGGCATGACCGCCCGGGTCTTCTCCCGATGAGCCCCTCTGTGCCTTCCGTGGCGGAGTTGGCCCTCAAGGTGGTGGCGGCATGCGAGAGAGAGGCGGGGAGGGAGACGGGCGGATCTCGGCGGAGAGGGAGACGGGTGGACCTCGGGGGGCTCCTCCTTTGCCTTCTGGCTGTTGAAAAACGAAGTTTTTGGGTGGGTGACTTATTCACTGTGCACAACCTAAATCTCGCCGTTTTGCCTTCTCGCTGCTGGAGTCAGTCGGAGCCCACGCAAAGGCAACAGAAACCCACGACAAGCCCAAACAAAAACCCAATAAAATCTCGCCTGGCCTCTCGCAGTCCAGCCAGCCCCGGTCGTTCACCCCAATCTCCACGCGTCGCCGCCGCTTGCCGGCGAGTCTATTCCCCTCCGCCACGCCGCCGAAGCTTCCCGGACCCCGCAGCGGTTCGGATAAGGCGGCCGCCCGCCCGCCACCCGCCCTCCTTTCGCCCCCACTCCTCTCGGCCCCGGGACCGCTTCCGGGTGGATCTAGGGTTGCGTGGGGAGGGGTTCTGGAAGCCTCCGCCACGATGGACGAGGCGGACGATGACACCCACACCTTCAAGGTCGGCTTCACCGCCGCCGGAGAGGAGCAGTTCCGGGAGCTCGTGAGGGAGAAGCTGCGCGGGTTCAAGAGAGACGTGGACGACACCCTCGTGGTACGATTTCCTTCTGTCGTCTCCTACTCGCTAGCTTCTGGTCCTAGCGGTTGATTTCGGCTGTTTGGGGACTTGGGTTCTCTGCAGCTTTAGGATTTTGGTCGAAGTAATTAACACGTAACAGTATGTAGGACTGGCTAGAATTCAAGATGGATTGTGCAAGTTACGCGATTGTGCCCTGTGTTTTTGTTCAGTGTCGCCCCGCATACAGCACCTATTGCTGGAATCAGTCAGTAGTCTAATGTCGTTGGAACTCATGGGCCTGCAGCTTTGCTATGTGATGTCTGCAGTTTTCGTTTGTTTAGGCTGAGTGCTGTCTGTTTTTTCCAACTTAGTGTGCTCACTATGTACACTTAGCTGCTTTTAGGTGAGATCAACTAGTGTAATGGATTGGTGCACTATAATGGAGTGGTGCACTATATGCACCAAACTGTTGTGTGCGATGTATACTTCATACTTATGAAGCCTCTTCTCAAACTGAGGATTTTCAAATCAGGATGAATATGAAGTGTTTGTCTAATTGAAGCATGCCTTAGTTTGTACTGGTTCAGTAACTGTCATGTTACTTGACGGCCATTTTTATTGAACTGTAGAATGGATCTTATTTGTTGCTGCTTCGCTAGTCAATATTTTTAGTTGGGCATGCAAACTTGTTTGTGAATTGGCTCTGTCTCAGGTGAAAATGTACATTACAAATCACAATCATCGAATTGGACAAGTGTTGCATGTTATCTGCGGTGTTTTTGATGCAACTGAAATGCAATACTTATTTGAAGCACGTGTGTACCATAATAAGGTTGAATGAGTTTACTATCCTTGCATGTTAACATATGCTATTGCTGTGAATCTTTACCACCTTTTCCATTCATCACAATTCCCCTATTCATCTACTTTTAGCCTTAAATTTATACTATTAGTCAAGAGCGCCCAAACTTCCCTAGAAAACAGTGCTGTATGCAGTTTTAGTGGTGGAACAAAGGGAACCTATGAAAGAGTCTGCCGTTATGCTTTTCCCTGTCGTTAGTGAATGTTGAAACAATCCAGGTCTGGTCTTTGTCTTTTCTGAGGAAGCATCACAATACATGGATTACATTGTTTATGTGTATACTTCCTCTGATTGAAACGAGATGTCATTTTATTCTTCTTGGAACTTCTAGTTCTAGATATCTTTGCTCTTTTCGTCCTTTCTTGATCTTATTAAATAGAATCATTATTCTCATAAATAAATGACCCCATTTTCCAGTGTAGTATAAAATAAAGGGTAACAAGGTCATTCTACCAATTTTCTTAATCCTTGTGCACAACTCCGAAACTGCATTGTATTTTTATTACTGGGAGTAATTGCCGTGTACCAACTTTTGCAATTGTCATCATTATCTTATCCTAGTTTTCATTTTATTATGTTGGGATATTTCAAGGAAAACTATAAGTGGACCTCTGTTGCTGTCTTAAGTGCAGGAATATGTTACTATCATGCTCAAGAATGGAAAACGTAAGGATCTCGCCAGTAACGAACTCCATGTATTTCTAGGGGATGACACTGCAGTATTCATTTCCTGGTTAGTATTGCTTGCACACACTTCCATTGTTCTTGTATTCTTTGTTTGTCAACTGCCTGAACCAGTCCTTGATATATTTTACATGCAAATACTTTTCGTATTGTAATTGCTAACTCACTAATAAAAATGCTATAGATAATGGTAAAAGGTTAGCAAATGTTCACCCCAATTTTAGCGTAGATATGACAAGCAACATTGTATGTGCCCTAGTATTTGGTTCACTATTCGATGTTCAGACAAATATGTTTATATTGAGCAATAATAAAATATGGCTCTGATGCACCTTTCCTGTATGTGGAATGGAACTAGCAATTAACTGTGGTGGCAGCAAAAGGCAGAGGTTTTTGGTAAAGTTGTGTTTGCTAAAGACTTCGCAGTATATGTTCTATGGTATTGATATATTTGTGATGGCAGAAAGCAGAGGCTTCGACAAAGTTGTGCTTGCTAAATACTTTGCATTAGATATTCTATGGTATTTATATATTTGTGATGAGAAACATATATATTTGCGCTACAAGGGCCGAGTTATCGAGCATCGCTTGAGAGCAATAACGCGGGTCTCTATGAACCAATTTGGTTTCATGCCCGTAAGGTCAACCATGGAAGCCATTTTCTTAACAAGACAAGTTATGGAGCGGTATAGGGAGAAGAAGAAGGACCTGCACATGTTTTTTATTGACTTGGAGAAGGCTTATGATAAAATACCAAGGAATGTTATGTGATGGGCTTTGGACAAACATAAAGTCCCAACAAAGTACGTCGGGCTCATTAAGGACATGTACACCAATGTTGTGACTAGTGTTCAAACAAGTGATGGAGACACAGATGACTTCCCGATTAGGATAGGACTACATCAAGGTCAGCTTTGAGCCCTTATCTGTTTGTCTTAGTGATGGATGAGGTCACAAGGGACATAAGGGGACATCCCTTGGTTCATCCTTTTCGCGGACGATGTAGTGCTAGTTGATGAAAGCCGGACAGGAGTGAATCAGAAACTGGAGTTATGGCGGGAGACTTTAGAGTCCAAAGGTTTTAGACTTAGTAGAACTAAAACCGAGTATATGAGATGTGACTTCGGCACTACTACTCAGGAGGAGGAAGATATTAGTTTGGAAGGTCAAGTAGTGCCTAGGAAGGATATCTTTTTATATTTAGGATCAATGCTACAGAGAGACGGGGATATTGATGAAGATGTTAGCCATAGAATCAAAGCAGGGTGGATGAAGTGGCGCCAAGCATCTGGTGTCCTATGTGACAAAATGGTACCACAGAAGCTAAAAGGCAAGTTTTATAGGACGGCAATTAGACCTGCTATGTTGTATGGTGCAAAATGTTGGCCCACGAAAAGACGACATGTTCAACAGATAAGTGTCGTGGAAATGCGTATGTTGCGTTGGATTTGCGGTCATACAAGAAGGGATCGAGTTCGGAACGATGATATACGTGATAGATTAGGGGTAGCACCAATTGAAGAAAAGCTTGTCCAACACCGGTTGAGATGGTTTGGACATGTCCAACTGAGACCTCCAGAGACACCGGTGCGTAGTGGAATCCTAAGCCAGGATAGTAACGTGAAGAGAGGCAGAGGAAGACCGAAGTTGACTTGGGTAGAGGCAATAAAAGGAGACTTGAAAGGATGGAATATACCCAAAGACTTAGCCTTAGGTAGGAGTGCTTGGAAAACAGCTATTCACGTGCCTGAATCTTGATTGTTTCTGCTGTGTTTCAACTCTAGCCTACCCCAACTTGTTTGGGACTTAAAAGGCGTTGTTGTTGTTGTTGTTGTTGTTGTTGTACAAGGGCCTAGTGAACATTGAATACACTTTAGAGCTAGGCCACATGAATGGCTCCTTATATGTACGTAGCTTGAAAGTTTAGTTGAATCTAGGTACCTTTGCCTTGTAAACACCTGTTATTTAGAATTTTAGATCAGTCCTTATAAGCGTGATTGTTATTGAGATCATTGATAAATCCACTCACGAGAAGTACATCAACCATGAAAGCGAATCCCCCACCTCCACCCCACCCGCCCACCCAACCCAAAATAAATATTTTTTCACACATTTCTTCTGAATTCATGCAGTGTATTTATTGAAAATCACATTGTGAGACTGCTATAAGTTTTTAACAGCAAATGGAAATGAGAACATCAGAGCTACTTTTACTTTTGAAACTAACATAAACACTGGGAAATGTGTACTCTCATCTTTCCCTGGCAAGCAGTCCACGGTAATGCATATCTCCCAACTTGATTCAGCATCATATTTCACATGCATCAGCAAGGATGGCTAGAAGAGAGAGAGATATTCTTGGTTGGCTTTCATATCATCTCATCACGTGTTAAGTGAATCTGTTACTCATATCGTTTTGCTTTTGTAGGTTGTGGGACCATCTTTCTTTAAATATGCACTTATATGTGCAAGCACAAGAACAAACTCAGGAGGTTAAGGATGATGAGGCCCCCAAAGAAGTACCTGGAAGAGAAAAATCATCAGATGTGCTCCCGAGAAGCAAATGTCAAACTCATTCTGAGCACACAATTGAATCAAGTGCAACCAGTACTAGCAGACGGAATAAGCGGGAATGGAAAGGAATTGGTCGGGAGGGTAATGAAAAATTTCCACTTCGAAATGTACTAACTGATATTCTTCACGGGGAGGAGAAAAGATCGCAAAAGCCCAATGAAATACGACACCCTCCATCAAAACAACAGAACGGCAGAAAGCGTGATAGGGATGATGAGCCACAGCAAACAAAGGTGTGATGTATTACCTATTACCTAGGTCACAACTGCAAACTACATAACATCTTAAGTTGTTGAGAGAGTTGATGGCAAGTTGGCAACATTGTGCTTTCATATATATATATATATATATATATATATATGTGTATGTATATATATATTTTACTTTACCAATATCTCTGTTCTGTTCTTTTATGTCCTGCCTTTGCTCACATATTCTTTACGCACTATGCCTAAGTGTTCATCTATATTTCTCCAGAACGGACTGACCAAGACTCTGGTAGCTCTAAATCTGTTGCAACTTGCAAACATGTGGTGGAAACTATAGCATTACCATACAATTAAGTCCCTACCAATTATTTATTAATTACCATTTTCCAATAATCAAGTCCCTACCAATATTTAATTATTTATTGGCAACTGACAAACCAAATATTTGTTCATCATGAAAGTGCAATGTGAGTTTCTTCAGTTTATCTTCAGTAAGTATGCTGGGTTTCTTCGGTTAGAAACAACCGACAAAGCTTGTCGTTCCGTTAGTTTGGAATTTTGGAGAACTCTCTGAGTAGGCAGTCCATTTAGTTTATCTTCTAGAATTTCTGTGAATATTTTGTACCCCCTCCGTTCCAAATTATAAGTCGATTTGTTTTTTCTAGGTACATTTTTTTTTACTATGTGTCTAGATTTATGTGCTATGTCTAGGTACATAATAAAAGTTATGTACTCAAAAGTGCCAGAAGGACTTATAATTTGGAATGGAGGGACCATGTTTGGATAAGGAAATTGCTTGTTTGAACTGCTGACCACTAAGGGATGAGCATCACACTGATTCTCTCTAAGCCCTTTATTGGTCCACTCACATATTTTCTCCTCTATATTCTATTGCTCCTTCAAAATTTAATTCTACTCTTTTAGGTTCTATGACTTCTACAATCAGCTTGTTTTCTTTGTTAACAGAGAGACGTCTCATCACGCCCCATGCTTGGTGGTGGTGCTTCCCGTCGTCTTCTACAGTTTGCTGTTCGAGATGCAGTAAAAGCTGTACAGCCAACCAGCACCTCTGCTGAACCAGCATCCAAGCGTCTGCGCTCTGTGGTTGCCACTACTTCTGCAGAGAACATGCGTGATAGGAGATCAGAAAGATCTCAGGACTACCTGAACGATAGAAGATCAGAAAGATCTCAAGACAACTTGAGTGACAGAAGATCAGAAAGAACTAGGCCAGTGCTACAGGTACAAGGAGCTGCTTTAGCTCTTAGAGCTGCAGCGGAAGCTGCTGCAGATTCTACAAAGGTTAGATCAACTGGAAGTGTTTTCAAGCGATTGGGTCAAGGGAATGTTGTGAAACAGCCATCTCGTTCTCGTGAAGAGAAGAGAGATTATGAAGATTTTGAGCCAGTTACGACTGCAGATGAACATGATTCTGATCGATATGTAAATAATGAGGAATCTGAAGAGGAATCTGGAGAGCTGACCATGGCAGATAGGGTAGCTGGAATGAATGTTGATTCGAGCTCTGAAGATGATATGGACCGAGATGAGGGGATTACAAGATACCAAACTTCTCTTTCACATGAAGATACTTTCTCACCATTTGCAGAGAAGAAAACTGTATCGGCACAATGCAGTGTTGAACCAGAGATCGATGCAATAAGACCTTCAAGTGTGAATGACAAGGAGCAACCTGTTCCTTCATCAACAAAAACAGCAAGTAAAGCTGTGGCTATTTCTGTTGATGTAAATATGGTGGAACCTCCCAGTTATGAAGCACCAAAAGATGTTCATGTTGTGGAGAAGCCTTATGTTGCACCCATGAATTCAAATGCCACCAGTGTGTCTACCAATGCCAAAGTAAGCAGCCTTGCATGTTGAAAAAACAAGTTTTATATTTAAATTTCTTCCCACATCTTGAGTCACCCATTTTCTTGCATTTCAGTCAGGTTTGTATTATATATGCTTAAGATTTCTACCATGACCTTTTTGACTTTGGTGACTATAGATTTTTACAGTTTATAATCAAGTCCTAAGGCAGGATTGTAGCATTTCCTTGGAACCTTTCCTTGCTAATTAGTAGTTACACTTGTATGCTACTTGAATGAAATGGCAGAGCAGTTGGGGCATGGATAATCATGTAAATTCAGAATTGTTTATCTGATTTGCCAGTACTTTTACTGAGCTAAATTGGGGTATGTGAATGCTTGTTTGCATTTGCTTCCAGCAAAAGAAACTTGGATGAATAAAAACAGTTGTTGGCATCTCCTATTAGTGTTGTATATGCTCTCAGCCATTAAACAAAATCGCACGTCATGTCATCTTCCATGCATCTTGTTGATTATTATGCTCATTAGTTTTCTTTTCTATTTTCTATGATCATTTTATCTTGTCTTGTGGGTATATGCCCTGACTATTTATAGATGTATGGGCTAATCCTTGGGTAAATTTGCTTCTGACTGATGCCAACTTTCATTCAGGAATTAGGCCATGCAGAAGTTCAAAAGGATTCTCAGCGGTCTGCACCATCTGGTATGCCACATATATCTACTAATATAAGATCCACTTATGTTTTTTTTTTCCTTTCATCGGCTGATCTTCTCATAATGACACATGCCAATCTTCCATCTGGTTGACTGTATCTGATCGTTCCTGTTGGTCTAGTGTCCTTCCGTTTCTTCAATAATTGATAAAACTGATATATGCAGTAATACACTAGTTAGCCCACCATTTTTATTTTACCATATCCCAACTTGCATGGGATTAAAAACCCTTGTTGCTTTTCCTGTTGTAATATCACCTATGTTGCCCTTTCTTCATCATCTTACCTAAGAAAAAAAAAGTGCAGTTACTATTACAGCAAAATCTGTAAGGATTTGTTGCCTTTGTGATATATTGAGATTATTTTGATGTGCTGTGCAAGTCATTATTACAATCAATTTGTAAATAGGAATGGGTTAATCTTGAAGACTGTGTCATTTATTGCTTGGTATCTTGTCTTCTTTGCAGTTCCGGTTTCATATAGCACAGCGCATCCGACGGAGGATGCAGATTCGAGAACGCTTTATGTTAGCAATGTGGGTGTTTATATACTCTCATCACCCTTATATTATTTTGTGCCATTGGAGTATTTTATTTACCTCTAGCCTACCCCAACTTGTTTGGGACTTAAAGGCTTTGTTGTTGTTGTTGTTGTTGGAGTATTTTATTTACCTCTGTCAAATTATCTGAAGGTTCACTTTGCTGCCACCAAGGACTCATTATCTCGCCATTTCAACAAGTTTGGTGCAGTGCTGAAAGTAGTCATTGTCACTAATGCTGCAACGGGCCAGCCAACAGGGTCAGTTTAATTTCAAATTTTAATGCTTATTATAGCTGATGCAAGTTGCTATTTATTTTACCTGTACCAGAGAAAGATTTATAATTTTAGGAAAGTGAAATTACAAAAGATATTAGCATAATAACTGATACATTATAAATCACCACACCCACCAATTCCTATGATGCTAACACCCTTGTTTCGTGCTCAGATTAACTCGAAAGTTCCCTTGTTTCATGCTCAGTCGCTCAGATTAACTTTTTTTTTCCTCGAACAGCGCAGGAGAACTGTGCGTCATTTCATTAAGGTAGAAAAAATGTTACACGGGTCAAAGAGACCCAACTCACACACACCACCCCCTGGAAACTAAGTTACAGACTCGCCACAAAAACTGCAGAAATGACCAATGCCTCCGAGCTTTAAGCTCCAGTAGGCAGCGACCTGAGAACAAGCTTCTGGAGTTTGGAGGCTCCAGCCGAGCACCAGAGTCCCCCCTCCGAGCTAACAGCCCTAATGACCTCCTGAATGTTCGGCCTCTTGTTGTCAAAGACGCAAGAGTTGCAATGCTTCCATATCTCCCATGCCACCAAAATTATCAAGGAGTTGAGGCCTTTACGCGCTTCTTTTGGGACAGCTGCAATTGATCTCTTCCACCACCCCAAGAAACGAGACACAGTAGGCTGTGGTGCCAACTGCAGCTGCCCTAACTGTTGCAAAATCAGGGTCCAGACTTGTCGAGCGAAAACACAGCCTACTAACAAATGATTTATTGTTTCGTCCACTTGATCACATAAGGGACAGGACTCAGGATGTGGCAGATTCCTTTTTGCTAGACGATCGGCTGTCCACACCCGGTTATGAAACACTAACTAGATGTCCCTCAGATTAACTGAAAGTTCTAAGAAAATAATGTGCATTGTCTCTAGATAACAAAAAAAAATCAGATAAACAATAATAAAAGGAAAAGGGTCAAGACAAAATACTCCCCTTTTGGAAGTAAGTTGTTTAACACTGGTAAGGTCTTCAGTATGACACATTTGTATATCTGCAAGTTATAGGTGCTCAGCAGTAGATAATTTCCCAATGGCCAAAAATGCGAATACGGTCTGTCAGGACATTTTATACCATACTACTATAAACTTCTGAGTGTTTCAGTGAACATTAAATTTATAATAATTGGTTATATTACATAAGCCTCTCTATTTGATTGCTCTTATCAGATGTAATTTGTGCAGTTCAAGTTTGAATTCTTGAATTGATGTTTTTGAGCTGAATTATTGTTGAATGTCACTGCAATTGATGCAGCAATAACATAGGGACTTAATTGTGAACTCAGAAATATTTGTATATTTCTTGAAGAGAAGTAGAGAACTCAATGAGTCCTTTTCTGCTATCGTACAGGTCTGCCTATGTAGAGTTCTTACACAAAGAATCAGCTGAACGAGCGCTGTCGTTGAATGGCACATCATTTATGACTCGTATTCTCAAGGTATGATTATTCTTTATCTTTTGAACTTTTTTTAGACTGCCATTTGCACTTCTCTACCAATGGGCATGACATTGTCTAACATGGTTTCCTGGTAGAGGTTTAAATTTTAATATAGATGATAGTTCTCTTCATTATCTAAAAAAGATGATAGTTCTCTTAATTGGTGAAGTTTTATGTTCTTATACTGGCATCTTGTTGCTCCGCTCAGCGTAGATTTATAGATTCCCAGAAACTAATGACTAAGGTGATGTTTGTGTTGCTTTTCCTTCTAATGTAGGTCGTCCGGCGAAGTTCTCATGAAGCAGCTCACTTTTATGGTTGGCCTGGTAGTGGACGGTCATCATTGTATGGTAGGCATGGTAGGATGGCATACCCAAGAGCTGTTCACCCCGGTGGTTCCTTTAGAGGGCGTGCTCCGATGAAAGCAGGCGCTAGAAGTTTACAGTGGAAACGGGAGCCTTCAGGCACTGATTCAAGTGCAGGTGCGAAAACTGACATGAGAGTGCCATTTTCCTCTGAACAGGTGCTCCCACCTGCAACATAGGGGTGCATATTATAGTTGAGCTGATATAATGAGAACCGAATGGTATCTTACTCATCGCCCCTAATGGCTGAGTATGGACAGCAAGCTGAGAAGATGTTCCTTCCTGCTGCACTGTAAAAAAAAAAAAGTCCAAAAAAAAGCATGAAAATACAAAAAGCAAAAATAAGAAAATGTGGGGGGAGTTTGGCATCAGAATATGGCTATCAGAATATGGCCATATGCGAGTAGGCTGACAGCCTGAGCAATTTTCTATGGACTCCAGCAATCTGAAAGAGGATTCACATTCGAAATAATCACAACCTTTTGGTTGTGTTGGATGGAAGATGCTTATCAAGTAGAACAAGATGGACAGATTTTGGACGAGGTATTTGGTGACAATCTGGGCATCATCAATGTAAGCCTCAATTGTATAGAAGTAACCTATCTATTTGTACCCTTTATCTGAATCAATCTCTTTCCCAACCAAAAAAAGAAAAAGAAAAAAAAGGAAACACAAAAAATGTGTTGTTCTCTTTTGTTTTTTTCTCTCTCTCAACATGAACTGTTTTATTTATTGTACTGATAGTTGATTTTTTAGTTGGACATTCATTTCTTGTCAAACAGTTTAACAATACTTTTTCTGTGTGGTCTATAATGACTATTGCATTTCCAACATTTCATGTTTTAAGTAAAAAAATCCAGTTTACTGTCTGATGAATGCAGTTTAATCTCGTGATGTCTTGCCATGATTCTTATAGATTTATGGCTGGGCATACCTGTTTGAATCTTTCTTGCATAATATATGCTTTCATTCAATGATGCAGCTACTCATGTCATTAGTTGTATATAGCGAGCCATTAGTTGTTTACTGACAAGTGGTCCATACTTGGGGAAAAGTAATTTGTTGGAGGCTTATTATAACTTAAAAAGGCTGAAAATTATATTGGCCTTTTCTTCTTTCTTGTTTCTTTGGAATCACAAAGAGCTATTGTGTGGTGAACAGCTTTGGTTCTCGGATGGTGCGGGGATGTTTGCGTAAGAGCAACCATTATGCATTTCTGTACTCAAGTATTCGAGTCACTTTAGGTTTAAGTACTTACACAGGATATACTTGATATGTTGCACGATGCATGGGCGTTTCCCTTGCTATGTAGCCTAGCTATACCTAATCCCGTCCATGGAGTTGCAGTTATCATATTGTGCCTAATTAAAACCGTAATAGAGACGCCGTCCACAAGGTGCGACGCCCCCTCAGCTCTCGGCTTAGTGCTGCTGAACCGTGGAAAGTTCCTGCACTAAGCACGTGAAGCGTGTTGCGTTTTTTTTTTGAGCATCGAAGCGTGTTGCGTTGTGCATTAGCATTAGCCTTCGGGTTAGGAAAACACCGCCCGCAGATAGTGGTTCTCCAACGCAGCCGAGCGTCACCGTTCTGTCATCACGGGAGCACAGATTATGCTGGGTTGCCTTGTGGTTCTCGACGTCTTAAAGGTAATCCAGTTGCATCACGGTGACAAGTCACGCATGGACACGGCAGCAAACCAGACATGACATATTTGGCTCCGGGACGGGTCTACTTTCCCTTGAAGTTTGACGGGTACGCGTGCCTGAAAAAGTATCGAGGGTCAACACCACCGCGAGCATGAATGTTTCCACGCTGATTTTTTTTCTCTCAAGTAGATTGCACCAACAAAACCTAACCATGTGAGCTTAAGCTACATTCGCTTTTTACGTTGGTGGTGAATCTTGTCTTGACACAAACAGGAGGACTGAAGGAGTGCTTTCGTTTGTAACGCAAGTGCGTTGGCGCTACATCATTTAGCAGCTGTGTGAACGTGTGATACATGCCGCAACTGGCAATCCCCATACAAGATCTGGTTTATATTTTATAAAAAAAACGCACGGTAAGTAGCAAGCAGTCGCTGTCGTGCACTGCACCAGGTCAACAAAATCAGAACTTAAATTAGGGCTATTCGCTGCTAATAAAAAGGGACCATGATTAGCAGCTGATCTTTTTTTTTCGAAAGGATTAGCAGCTGATCTCTCTCTGCATCCTCTCACTCCAATTATTTTGCAGAGGGAAGTGAATGAAGCAAAAAAGAGAAAAAAAAGACGATTCTTCCCCCTTGTGGCGGCCAACATGGTGATAGTAGTAGCCACATGTGTCGCGCGGCTCCGGCGTGGCTGGGATATTGAAAACAGTAATATCACCTTGGATTTGGTCTCGCTGGCCTGGCCCCCTCCTCACCTTTCGTGACACAGCTTATAGGCTTTAGGTGAGATTTAAGGATGCGCTCTGCTGATAGAGAGACGCCTAAAAATCTCGCTGCTGCTACAAGTAATAGTGTTTGATGGATTTTTGTCAGAATAAAGTCCATATGAACAGCCGATACCGGAGCCCTGGAGGCCCTTTAGAGCCCCATAAATTTTTAGGCAAAGTTCTATTGCGTAGGTGGAGCTGAGACTTAAGATCAAACAGCAGGTATTATGTTGTCATACTTTTATTCAGCCCCCTAAAATTTTTCCTGGATCTACCGCTGCGTGCAGCCAAAGGAGCTAGCAAGCTAACAAGTATGTATACATTCAATCAAAGAAGCTAGCAACCATTTGCACCGGCTTATACGTAGTACAGTGCCATGATTGCACGTAAATGCGCCTCGACGTGTAAATGGAAAAAAGCTAGCAGGTGTCAGTCATGATAAGTATGAAACTGGCTGTAGGACGCGTGCGTACGCTGGTCCATGGTTTGTATATTTCTGCAAAGGTGTACACCAACAGGATGGTGTAGCCTGGCGCGACTCGATCGGTACGTGATCTGGCCTGATTATCCTAAAACCCTCGGTATATACGGCTAGCATGTACGGGATTTCCAGGCGACGTATGTCTATCGGCTGCAAATCGTTGAGTCAGATATATGTGCGTATATATCTTGTTCCTTCGGATTATTCAATAGCACTCCATCTTGCTGGGCCCGCATGTCATGGGCTGCATAGGAGAGATGCTAGTTGATCCCGGTGTTTGGATGGAATACAATCGCCATGTACACGTCCACGCAGCCAGCAAATATCTCAACTGGCCTTCTAGAAACTTGATCACGAAGAATAATTATCACGTGGAGATAAGTACGCAAGCTGCCAGCGCCGGATATGCAAGAGGTCGTTTAGTACCGAGAGATTTGGGTCCGACAAGGATTTGCCTAACACGTTTTTGGATTTTAAAAATTTATAACACATGTGAGGCAAAAAACAATTTTTAAGAACAAGGATCAAACATAACTTGTATTTAATATTTAAATAAAAATTGAAGTATAAGTTTAGTAGATGAAAATGCAACTTTAACTTTTGGAAAATAGATGTTGTTAACTAGTGTTTTGGGAGCTCAAAAATCAAATTTGACGTTAAGATAAGCTCTTTTCGTTAAGTCGGCAAATACTTGAACTATTGTTAAAATACTATTTTTGACGAATTATATTAAGCAAAATAGTTAAATCGTGATTACAAATTTTGCTCCTACAGGTTAGTATAAGATATGGACTATTGCATGAAGTATTTGTTGGTTGAAGTTAACAAATGTTTAGATCTATTAAAAATTACGACAAAAGAGTTAATTGTTACTTAGTCTCAATTAAAATCTTTAACTTTTCTAAATATGAAAAAGTAGTAAGACAATGCTATTTTGACATTTAATTTCTAACAAAAATGTTTAAACGCTAGCTGCATGTTTTGGTATTGTCGATTGCATCAAAGTGACTACATGAGCATGGTGTAGGTCGAAGTTGTGTTGGAGATCACGTTGCTCTTGTAAAAATTGCCCAAACTTCGTTAGAACGCGTTGCAACCGCGTTGTTGGCGCTCTGTTCGCGAACCGGCACTCCAGCGACGAACCCAAGTTGGCATCCTTGTATCTCCCTCTCTAGTCGATCTCTGGACGTGAGGTTTGCTTCGTTAGCTGGGTGTTAGTATCGACTTTAGGTTAGGGGAATTAGTTGAGTCTCGATCGTGATCGTTAGCGGCTTTTGCTTCGCTTTAAAATACGTGCACGTCACCAGTGATACCTCTCGGCCCGAGTTCGCGGACACCGCGTGCGTGGGCGCTGCTGGCGTCGGGCTTAGGCCATGGCCGGGCTGCTACCGCTGTCCGGCTCGTGCGCTCGGGTCATGCCGCGCAGCGCCTTGGCCTCACGTTGGCTAGCTCCGGTCGGCTGCGGTATGGTTTCCACTGTCATGACGTGCGCGCGCCACCCTTTGGCTGCCGAGCCGCGCCGGAGTCGAGCCGTGGCTACGGCCATCATTGCCAGGTCAGCGTGGCAGTCGCTCCGCCCTCCAATTCATCTACCACGCCGAGCCGTGTGTCTTGGTCGCAGCCGCCCTCTTGTGTGCACGCGCTCTCGGCCATGCACCTCACCTACCGCCACACCGCTGTTGTGTCCCGTGGCGCGATTCCAGCCGCTCATCCCATCTACCTCTGCTGCCACAACTATGCATACCGTCCCGCCTACGAGATAGGGAGGAGAGGACGGGTTGTGTATATCGGTAGTGCCACGCCAGCACATGGTCGGAGTCGCTGTCGCATTCGAGGTGCCGCGCTCTCCGCTCCTTCAATTCGCCTAGCTCAAGGCTTCTCAATCCAATTCCTCGCACAAGTGAGTAGCATAGGTAGTCAGCTAGATGCTCGGTTCTCCTCAAGCCTGATCGGTCACTACCCACCGACAAATTGATGTTTTTGCTCACCGCCGGTCATGTGCGCCGCCGTGACCAAAAGGATGGGGGTAAGGCATGTAGGAGTGGTAGCAGTTCGATTGCTCGTAACCCTGCACTCGCCTTGACTTCCTCTATCCGGTGCTCGCACTGTTTTGGCCAGGGAACTCATCGGCGACGTGGTGACGCACCGGTGTCCATTGCAGAGCGCCGCCGCCCCACTCGGTCGCACATGGCCAGACCGCCACAACGCTTCCCAGCTTCAACCGTCAGTAGGGTGTACACCACGGTGAGCTACGGATGCTTCTCCGCCATATCTACCTAGCCG